AGAATTAAAAGATAAAGTAGTTGAACTTAAACATAAAATATGAATTTGAATATGAAAAATATGAAACATAAAATATGAATTTAAACATAAAATATGAATTTAAATATAAAATAGCTGAACGTAATAATTTACGTTTTGAAGGACTAGAAGAAAAAGATAACAAAATCTAGGAGGAAAGTGAAATAAAAATAAAAAGCTTTATAAAGGAAAAAACTTAATATTAGCGAAGAAGTACATATAGAAAGAGCACACAGAACTGAAAAAAGGAACGAAGAACCTGGCAAGAAAAAGAGACGGACAATAATTACAAAGTTTTTAAACTACAAAGACAAGGAAAAAGTACTGGAGCAGTATAGAAGACTCAATTTATGGAACAAAATATTGTATCTAAACGACAATTTTAGCGATCGAACCATTGAAAAAAGAAAAATACTATTTGCGGAAGTCAAAGAACTACAAAACGCTGGAAAGTTTGCTAGAGTCGTATATAATAAACTTGTTACACGTCCTTAAAAAGAAATAAAAAGAAATTCTTTTAAATTAATATATATATAAAAATATTTATATATATAAATGAGTGATTTCAAACAACTCGCATTTGACTTTTATGACAAATACGTTAATTCTTTTTTAATGATACGCACAAAAAGTGCTCGTATCTTTATCCTAACGAAATAAAAAAACTTCTTTTTAAAAATGAAAAAAAAAAAATAAAAACTGTAAACAAATTAGAATCCTCTACATTAATATAAGAAGTTTAAATAAAAATTTTTAAAAATTTTGACATTTTTTAAAAGAAGCTGAATATATCTTTGATATTTTAATTGTTTAACAGAAACGTGGTGTTTGTCGAATGATATAAAAAAGAATTCTAATTTTTATCTTTTTGATTTTGAAACAATTTCATTAGAGAGACAGACAAATAAACGTGGTGAAGGAGTTCTGATTTATATAAAAGATACCATTGTACATTGTATTAGGAATGATTTAGGCGTTTCTGACGGCGATAAAGAAATCGTAACCATTGAAATATTCAACAAAACGAAAAAAAACAATATTCTATTAAGCTGTTGTTAAAGGCTACCTGATGGTGAGTCCGAAAATTTTAGCTCGTCTTTACAACAAAAAATACTTAACAAAGGAATCTATGAAAAGAAAAAAATCTATATAATAGGTGATTTAAAAATGAATTGTTTACTATACAATTTTAACCAGAAAGTAAAACAGTTTTATGATGAAATATTTACAACGGGAGCAACTCCACTAATAATTCATCCAACTAAGATAACACGAAACTCATCAACTCTTATTGATATAACTGTTACAACAGACATTTTCAATTGGAGCATTCAAACAAGTATTGTAAAATCTGATTTATCAGACTATTTTCCTATTTTCTGAACATTCAATGTCGGATCTACGTATACTTTAACAACAAATAAAAAATAATAGAAAGCGTTATTTTATCAAAAAAAATCTCGAATCGTTTAAGTCTCAATTATCTCTACTACATTAGGAGCATATTGACTTTAGCCATAACGCAAACAACATTTATAATAAATTTTTTGAAATTTTTTACTCAGTGTATGAAGTAAACTTTCCAGTTTGCGAAAAAAGAATAAATACTAAAACATTAAGTAGTCCCTGGATTAAAAAAGAACTAAAGTAATCCTATAGAACAAAACAAAAATTATATATAAAATATCTAAAAACCAAATCTCCTGTAAGTAAAAAAATATATAAGAATTATAAAAATATCTTTGAGAAAACTCAAAAACACTTGAAAAAAAATCTATTATTCAAATCATATCCAAAAATTTTAAAACAACTCAAAGCCCACTTGGAATATAATAAAAGAATTAACTGGAAAATCAAATAAATGTTCAAACTCCCAGCCAAACACTATTAATTTTGAAAACAAAATTATTTTTGAACCTAGGAAAATTGCAAAAAAATTTAATAGATTCTTCACAGATATCGGAAAAAAACTTTCAAACAAAATTCCAACAACTCATTTATAGACTTTTTATCCACTATGCACGATCTAAATACTAACAATAAATTATAGATTGAACTAACTCCCGAGGAGTTTGACAGCTTTTAAATCTCTTAAAAAAATAAAGCTACAGGCTTTAACGGAATAAATAATAACATAATTATAGATTGCTACGAAAAACTAAAAATATACTTTTAAAAAATTTTAAAGCATCTTTAAAACAAGGGATTTTTCCGGACAAATTGCAAAGGTTATTCCAACCTACAAAAATGGTGACAAAACAGATGTGTGCAACTACCGCCCCATTTCTGTTCTCCCAGCTTTTTCAAAAATTTTAGAGTAAATAATTTATAATAGAACCTATAAATATCTTAATGGTGATAAACTGTTAAATAATAATCAACTTGGTTTAAAAAAATGCATTTAAACGGAACACACAATTATTCATTTTGTCCGGCAAATCTCTGAGTCTTTTAATAGAAAGCAATATACATTGGGTGTATTTATTGACCTATCAAAAGCATTTGATACTGTCGATCATGAAATTTTACTGCAGAAGCTCTAATATTATGGGGTAATTAATAATCATTTAAATTAGTATAAAAGTTATTTAACAAATAAAAAACAATTTGTCCCCATCATTAACAGACGCGAAAACAAAAATGATACAAATAACTTGCGGTGTTCCTCAAGGCTTAATTCTTGGGCCTCTTCTTTTTTTAAATTATGTAAATGATATAAATAATGAATCAAACTTTAAAAACATCATGTTTGCTAATGATACGAATTTATTTGCGCCAGACCTTAGCATTTCGAAACTGTTCTACGAAATGAATAAAGAACTTAAGCTTATCTCTAACTGGTTTAAATGTAATAAATTAACTTTAAACATCGACAAAACAAAGTATCTTCTGTTTTACCCATTATCAAAAAAATGTTTTTTGCCAAACCTTATATCAAAACTATTAATTGATAAAATTAAAGTAAAAAGAGAAAACGGCACAAACTTTTTAGAAATATTTTTTGATGAAAATATTACATGGAAAACTCATATTAACTACATTAGCAATAAAGTTGCTAAAAGTATTGGCATCTAAGATCAGATTTTTTTTTAGATAAAAAGAGTTCAATACTTTTCCTTTCTACATAGTTATATTAGCTATACCAATTTTGCTTGGGAAAGTACAAGCAAAAGTAAATTGCAACTTCTTTATCGACGCTATTCGTTTAATATATTTTAGAAATCGTTTAACGCATTCAAATTTTTTATTTAAAGTTGCAAATGCCCTTAATATTTATCAACTCAACATTTATAAAATTTTCTGTTTTTGTTTTATTGTAAAGTTTCAATGTAAAGATGACTCAGTACTATCTATTTTTAAAGACTTTCTGATCAAAAAAATTTTTTGCAAAATGATAATTTTTTAAATGAACCACTTATATGTACAAATTTTAATCATTTTTGTATTGGATATCGTGCACCTTATCTCTGGAATAATTTTTTTTCTATAAAATAAATAATGAATTACTGCTAATATGTATTTACTCACTATGTAATATTTAATTTTTTTTTTATTTTTGTTGTTGTTGTTGTTGTTTTTACGCTTTTAAAAGGTTTTGACAACAATGAGATCTTCTTTGAGAAACCTTGTTTATATTTGTAAAGCTTTTATTTATAAAGTTAATTATATAACTGTATTACGATTTATATAATTGTAAACTGTAACACGATATAAATAAAAAAATAATAATAAAAAAAAAGTGGCACAAACAAATTTAAAACAACATTTTAACACAAACTATTAAATAGAAACTGATAAAACCATAAAATCATCTAATCAACATAAAAATGTTTAAGAGCTTTCACCAATTGAAATAATTAAATAGCGTTGTGAAGAAGCGTGGCATAAATATATCTATTTTCTGTCCCACTTTCAGGGGCGGGTTTTGTCACTCGCGAAGGAGGGGGCTAAAAAGATTTCTTAAAAAAAAAAAAGATCCGAATATTTTCATTTATAAATAACTTTTTATTTTTTTAACCTTTTAATTTTTTGTACTTTAGCGTAATATTTAAGTTCACATACGTATATTTACATATGATAGTCAATTTTGTTCGTCAGTATTGTAGTCCATTTCTGTATAATAGTCAATTTACTATAGAATATTTCTGGAGAAAAGTCCCAAGGAATGGGTTTGCTACCCCGTGTTCCTCCCTCCTAAAATTAGCCACTGCCCACTTCACCCCAATATAAACACTTTTTTAAGGTATATTTCAAAATTAGGGCTTCTAGCGCACGCTGGTAAACAAAGCAATTTCTGCTAAATAGAGGAAATGAAATTTAGTTGTTTACATTAAAAAACAGTATTTAGGCACTTATTCTAATTAGAAATTTCAGACTCTCCCACTTCTTGCGCATCCCACTTCTTCCCACTCTCTTGTGGAAATCTGGGAAAATACTTTGTTATTATTATAAAGAAGCAATTAGCAACTTGCATGAAATTAAACATTTTTTATAAACATTTTAATAAAACACTTTTAAAAAAATTTTTATAAAACATTTTTTTTAAACAGTTTTATAAATATTTTTATAACCATTTTTATAAATATTTTTATAACCATTTTTATAAACATTTTTATAAACATTTTTACAAAACATTTTTATAAACATTTTTATAAAACATTTTTATTAAACATTTTTTTAACAAAAATAAAAAAAGTAATGCAGTTAAACATTTTTAACAGTTAAAATTTAACAGTGTTTTTTTTATTATTATTTGTGCTTTATTTATTTGTCCAGAAAAAGTTCATATTATTTATAGGATATTTTAATTTATATATAAATACATTGTAACATTATAAATAAATACATTGTAAACGAATCAGTTTATATTTACGATATCGTCTTATTTAAGATTTAATAAGGGAACATAAAAAAATTTTAAAAATTACTTGCAAAGAGCAAATTTTAATTAATAAAAACTTTATTACAAAAACTTAACTTACTGCAAAATAAATTATTAAAAATGAAATACTGCAACACAATGAATGCTGATACCATATTGGTTGATACCATCTTGCATCTCGTTCTCTTAGAACGAGAAGACCATCATAATTAATCAAAACTAAAAGCTTTAGTTTTTAAGTGCATTTAACTTTATAATTTTAAACAATAGTTTAAGTTTTTAAAACCAAGATAACAAAAAGCTTCCGTTTTAAACAAAAAGAATATTATAATCGAGTTTTCACAAACGATTAATGCATTGCTAGAGCATTAAAACTAACTAATAACATTTTAAAAACTTAAACTATTGTTTAAAATTATAAACTTAATTATGCTCGAAAGAAGATTATTACTAGGTAAACTTCATGAACGTTAAAATTTGTATTTATTTTATATTAAAAACAGATAATGAAAAACATTAGTAATATAGTACTTTAAATAAAAACCAAAAACGTTATTTATGTTTTATAATGCAAAATGATAATGAACCGGATAACAATCGTAATATAAACATCACTTCAACAAAAATTTTAAACAAAGATTAAGAACTTATTTGCTAATCACATTTCTAGAAATTATTTTTAATTTTATTTTTATCAAACATTATATGCAGAGTTTTGTCAAAATTTTATATTTGCACAAATATATTTTTTTATAGAATGAGTATTTAGAGCTCAAAAGCTGTGACCCTGTAGAATTTATAACCCTCGAGTCAAGGGGACTGCGCATACTCACCCGGCACAACTCAGAAAAATGTTACGCTTGGTTGTTGTTTTTGTTTTTGCTTTTTTTTAGGTGCCCCAAGTAAAATAACGGTCTTGTCACAAAACACTGCGGAGGTGCATTTAACCAAGAAGTTCATGTCTCTTTCTTTGCCGTGACGTGTTTAAAGCATTCTAAAAGAATAACATCTGTCAAAAAGGTTTTCATTCCGTGAAATTAACTTTTACTGTTAACCATAAATATGCCAATTAAAATGTTAATGGTTTCACCCTCCCGTAAAAGTAGTATTATTATATTAAAATAACTTTTCAAAGAAATGTGAAACCACTGATAAAAGCGTGCAATATTTAAATTTGACTTTAGATCGATAATATATAATTTAGATAGATAAAGCGTGCAATATTTAAATTTGAAACCTCAAAAAACACCTGTTGATATTGAGTAAAACTACCTTTGATATACGACAACGTCCATATGACGTCGAAAAAACGTCTTTTTAGGACGTTCAAAACTGGTCTAAATGACAAAGCCAGATGACGTCTTTTTAGGACGTAATTAGGACGTCTTTTTAGGAGGGAATAAAGACGTGTTTTTAGAACAGAATAAAGACGCGTTTTTCAGATGTCTAAAATACGTGAATTTAAGACTTTCAGAACCTATTGCTAAATGTAAATGCCAAATGACGTCTTTAAATAACCTTATTTAGACGTCGTCATTTCTACGTCCGATTTCTGCAATTGTTAATTTCCAAGAATCGAATGTTCAAACTGTTGACGTCATTTACCTTCGTTTCGATCAGGCGCGCTCTTTAGAATATTGCCACCAGCATTTTAAAGTTTTTTTTTGCTGTAGTAACCTAGTAAATAGTCTTAACCCTAAAAAAATATTATCAAGATAAGTATGTAAAAATAAAGGGAAAAGGAATAAGGAGAACACTACAATCAAAAAAATCTTTCCTTATTTTCAAGGGAAAAATTAAGGAATTAATCCCTTGTATTTGACACTAGGAAAGATACCCTTAAATTAAGGAAATTGGTTTTTAAGGAAATTTTTTTCCTTAAAAATCTTTCCTTATTTTTAAGGGAAAAATTAAGGAAATAATCCCTTGTATTTGACACTAGGAAAACTTCCCTTAAAATAAGGAAAGTGGTTTTTAAGGAAATTTCTTTCTTTAAAACGTATTCCCTTAAAATAAGGAAATCCGTAAGTAATAATTTTCTTAACATAATATAAATTCATTCGCTGTATTGCGCGGCGAAATACAAAAACAAATTTGATTATTTTACGTAACATTATTGAGTTATTTTTGGGCTTTTTTTATATAAGACTGAGAAAGAGATTTCTTTATTATAAGACAGCAGTTAGAGTAAAACTTTTTAACTGTAATATTAATTATTATTGTAAGCTTAAATCTATTTTTGAAAAACGCATTATAGATAACAACAACTACATTTACATATTAAAACTATAATCTACACATAGTGCACCGTAAAAATTTACAATTGCCAATATCATAACTTAAGAGTGTCATAGTTACATTTTTAACAATAATATATATATATATATATATATATATATATATATATATATATATATATATATATATATATATATATATATATATATATATATATATATATATATATATATATATATATCCTATGTATATATATATATATATATATATATATATATATATATATATATATATATATATATATATATATACATAGGATAACAACAAAAATTGTTAGTTCAATTGAAAAAGACGATCGGCACTATTAACTGAACTAGGAGATTTTTCTCTTCCAAAACTTAATTGATAAATTTTGCATTGTAGATATTTAAAAAACATTTCCAATCCATTTGGATATTCTAAAGAAAACACCCAAAACATTTTAAACAAATAGTCTATGCATTCAATCATGCTAAATCCTGCCACACACACTTTTCCATCACAAACAATATTTCCAATTAGCTCATTATTATCAGCAGCAGATTGCTCAATGTATAACTTTGGATGAGCCATTTTTTCAGTTAGATTGATGGAGCTGCCTGGCTAAATTATGATGTCACAATATATATATATATATATATATATATATATATATATATATATATATATATATATATATATATATATATATATATATATATATATACTAGCTGAGTTGACCCGTAAAAATACGGGTCTTTGTAAGTCTATTCCACACAAACCTTTTGCCTTATTTTCTTAATCTAGCTGTCCGTATCGGTAAATACAGGTCTTTTCTTCTACTTCTATATTTATCAATTCCACGCCAATCATTTCTTTACTTGTTCTTTATTTACTTCAATATTTTTTAGTAAACTGAAAAAAAATTCATTAAAAAAATTTGTTTTAAGAGCAAAAAAAACTTTAACATACGCACTTTTTCCGCATGCGTATATAGCTTATTAAACCCCGTTTATTTTTTTTTATTTTTTTAAAATTCTGAACTAAACTACTTCCTACTTTTAGACCAGCCATGGACCATGGTTTATGGTCGCGTCCTAGCCATATTCAATAGTTTACTATATTTATTATTATTATATGCTTAGTTTTGAATAATAACGGTCTTTTATAGTTATCTTTGTATTAGACGGAAACGGTAATGCAATTCTTTAAAACGTTAGTCGCTTAAAGCGTCAAAAGTCATGCAAAAAAATAAATTATAAATTTTGTGGTTTAAAAGTTGAAGAATTAATAATATTATAACAAAAAGTTTGGTAATTTTTAAACGTTCTTATTTAGCTCTTACTTATGGTATTTATTTTGTTTTCATTTTACATTTTTAAAAAAATGTTGAAGCACCTAACTTTGATAGCTCACAAGTTAAGTGCGCAGTCATCAGAGTCGCTGTGCAAGACTTCAAATCCGCGCCTAAAAAATCTCAATACATTTTTTTAAATTTTTTTAATCTGGCTATATTTATAGCAAAAAATTATATATAACAAAAAACCTTTTAATTGCTTTTTTTTTCCCTGCCTCCACTGCAATACCAGGTGGAGTAGCAGGACGGTTTTATCAAATTTTTTCCTTAATAGGTTTTAGGACCTTTTTTTTTAAGACTATCCGTAGCTTATTAGGACCAATTATGCGAGAACAGTATCAAAATCGTGACACACACGCAAAAAATTTTCGCCACGTTTATTGGTGTTTTAAGAAATCCAAAAAATTTATAAAATTAAAAAAAAAAAAAACGGTTAAAGTGTATATTATTTAACTTGTTTAACAAATATTTTGTAATTTAAAGAAAAAAATCAAATATTTTGTAATTTAAAGAAAAAAATCGCTGGCGGTAAATTTGAACCACGACTATTACGTTCAGAGGCTTAGCGCGCTAACCACTCGGCCATGCTGACACATCAAATATCGAAATTTTAAAAATATATAAAAACTGTATTTAACGGAATTGCTGTAGATCAAAAAATTAGGAGAGGTTGAAGCAATGCAATTTTTAAGTCAAAGTATAAAACTTGAAAAATGTTTCAGTATGTTTTATCATTACTTAATTACGTACGTTAGATATTTGCATACACGTTTTCTTCTTAAAAAAGTGTTGCGACTTTTTCTACTAACACTACTATTAAGTTTGGCATTATTATATAGAAGATAGATAGATTATAAAATAGTTTTTCACTTAAAAGGACAAACTCTATTCCACATTAACTTTATCTCTATTTCTCCCTCTAATATTTTTTAGTGAACAATAGATTATGTGCTAGAAAAAAAAAAAAAATTCACATATGCACCTTTTCCGTATATTTATATTTAGAACTTAACATGAAGAAGGTAAATCATTTAGTTCAAGACAACCTGCCCAAACCCAAATCCTCTGTTGATTTATGCACACTCACTGTCGCTAGGCGCGTAAAATAAGTAGCTAGGCAAGTCAAATAAATTAATTGATCTGTTTTTCTGCATAAAACAAAAACAGAAAATGTGAAGTACTTGATATAAGGAACTGTAATATTGGATTTAGTTAATTCAATACAAAGTGATAGGAAACTGCAAAATAAGGTAGCAACGTGAAAATTATTCAAATACTAATTTACAACAATTTGTATTGCGTTTTATTAAAATAGCTTTATTATATAGTATGAAGATTGATGATTCTTCTTCTTCGCCTTTAGAAAATGATTAACGATTTGAAAGACTTTTAAATTGATTATAAAAGCATTATCTAAAAATGAAATAAAATCATTATTAATAACACTGAACGCAAATTTATTTGTTTTATGTTAATTCATTTGAAAAATGAAAAATACGAAACGAAATTTAGTAATATTAAATAAATATTAGACACTTACTTTGTGAGAGTGCTTTTGTAAAAGTCTCTAATATTTGGTTGGAAGGCTGGAAATACTCTTTTTTTTTAAAAAATTCAGTTTTATCAGCATTGCTAAAGATAAAAATTCTTACTGACACAAAAAAATTAGGCTTTTTCTTAAAATATTTCTTGGCTTTTAGTGAATGATTAGGAGTAAGTTTCAGTAATGAAGCTACCCAATAATCATTTTTAACAATAGACACCAACGTGAAGGTAAGCCAAGCTGTCTATTAACACAAAACATAACAACAATATTACAGGATGACAAACAATAACACCAGTAGTGTAGGCAGGATTTTTGTTGTTTCAGGTATATAGAATTAATTTTTGTTTGGAATTTGTTGTTTCAGATATATTTAGAAGCTGTTGAAGAGTTTAACTTTGTTATGTCTAAAAAACTTTTATCAAATTTTATAAAATTATATCAGTTAATGTGCTATCTTTAAGTTTTAATACACATAACACTCATAAAACTGCATAAGTATGCAAAACACATTACCTGATGGTACTGCAGATGATATTGATGCTATTGTGAAAATAAAATAAAAAAAAAGTGTATAAAGTATCATATGTTAAACATTTATGTAATTGATAACAAACAGGAAAAAAGTAATGTTTAAGTTTCAATACACATAAAACCCATAAAACTGCATAAGTATGCAAAACACATTACCTGATGGTACTGCAGATGATATTGATGCTATTGTGAAAGTAAAAAAAAAAAAAAGTGTATAAAGTATCATATGTTAAACATTTATGTAATTGATAACAAACATGAAAAAAGTAATGTTTAATTTCAATACACATAAAACCCATAAAACTGCATAAGTATGCAAAACACATTACCTGATGGCACTGCAGATGATATTGATGCTATTGTGAAAGTAAAAAAAAAAAAAGTGTATAAAGTATCATATGTTAAACATTTATGAAATTGCATGAAAACATGAAAAAAAAAAAATTAAGTTTCAATACACATAAAACTCATAAAACTGCATAAGTATCCTAAACAGATTACCTGATATTATTGCTTGAGGTGTTAATGTATAGACAAAAAAATAAATAAATAAAGTGATGTGCAAAATAAGATATGCAATCTTTAAGTTTTACATTAAATTACATCATTACCTGATGGTACTGCAGATGATATTGATGCTATTGTGAAAGTAAAAAAAAAAAAGTGTATAAAGTAACATATGTTAAACATTTATGTAATTGATAACAAACATGAAAAAAGTAATGTTTAATTTCAATATACATAACACTCATAAAACTGCATAAGTATGCAAAACACATTACCTGATGGTACTGCAGATGATATTGATGCTATTGTAAAGGTAAAAAAAAAAAAGTGTATAAAGTAACATATGTTAAACATTTATGTAATTGCATGAAAACAGTAATGCCTAAGTTTCAATACACATAAAACCCATAAAACTGCATAAGTATGCTAAACAGATTACCTGATATTATTGCTTGAGGTGCTAATGTAGAGACAAAAAAATAAATAAATAAAGTAATCTGTAAATTAAGATATGCTATCTTTAAGTTTTAACACACCTAACACTCTTAAAACTGCATAAGAATGCAAAACACATTACCTGATGGTACTGCAGATGACGCTATAGTGGAGGTAAAAAATATATTTACATAAACTAACATATACTAATCAATTAAACAGTTTATTTTAGAGTGATAAAACCGCACACAAACATCAAAAAATGTGTGTTAAAATTAAACAAAAAGAAACATAAGTGTACTTTGCTTACCAATTAAATTTTCTAAATTTTCTAAATAGAATAAAAAAAAAACTCATTAACATTAGGAAAGAAACTAACATGCAGAATATTTGTCAACTTTAGGAAATCTATAAATAAAGTTGGGACAAAACAAAAGGCAAAAATAACAATCACAAAACAAAACAAACCAAAAAAGAAAAAAGCGACAAAAAAATAAAAAAATAAAAATAAAGAAACAATCCACAAGAACAATATAGTAATTTACTAAGTTGTTGAAATATAAGCCCTATAAAAAAAAAATGCTAAAATTTGTATCAAAAAAGCTAAAGACCATAGAATACACCTTTTTTTTTGAAAGTAAAATGCTATATCTTTATCTATAATACACAAATGTAATATAATCAAATTCTGTTTACCCATTGAATGTTCTAATTTTTTCTAAATAAAATGAAAAACTTATAAACATTAAAATAAATTAACTTGCCAAATATAGAATAACTTTATGTTAAATAAATATGTAATAAAAAAAATAAAGAGCATGACAACAACAATAACAAATTGCTTACTTAGATTCTCAACAGAATCTTCTAATTTTTCTAAATAAAATAAATTTAAAAGTTACAAAAGTCACTTGCTGACTGACAAACTGTCACAACTGACAAAAGTCAGTTGCTAAATAACTTTAAAAAAACTAAAAAAGCATAAATGTATTTGCACACAAAAAAAACAAAAAACAACAACAAAATTCCTCACTTAGCTTGCCCATTACTTCCGCTAAACATTAAAAAAAAGTTATAATTAACAAATTGCTGAAATTGGTGAAATATATATCTTTGTAACATATCCTTCTTATACAAAATTAGCTTACTTGGCAAGAGCTCTTCGGCTCTGATCTCTTGAACATCTAATATATATATAGACAAAATTAATTTTCAAAATATTTACTTTTTCAATTAAACATATAAGATTTGTCTTAAATTATAAAACTGTTGCACAGTTTTATAATTTAACACATTCAGTAAATGACAAAAAGTTTCATTTTACGTAAAAGTTTAGTAGTTAGAAGACTTAAAAGTTAATTTTAGCTTGAACACGTTTTATAAAATTATAGCTTTAACACCTTAAATAAAGCTTATACGCGTTTTTAAGGTTCACTGCTTTACAAAAACATCAATCAAAATAGCGGAATAAACAAAAACTGAGTTTTGGGTCCACCCTTTTAAAGTTCTAAAAATTAATTTATATATTTTTTAATTTTAGTTAAATTTTAGGGGGGTGTACTTGATTCACGGGGTTAGGGGAGGGCGGCATATCTTGGTTGATTTTAAATAAAAACGGCTAATTAAATCATCGTTTTATTCACACCGTAAATCAAGTACAGCTCCGCCACTTTTAGAACATATGTAACTGCTACTATATATAGTATATATATATATATATATGGCTTACTTCGAAAAAATGCAGAAACTTCTTCGTCGCCTAAAGATATACAAAATTATCTTAATGTAATTTCTTAATAAAATAATAAGCTAAATATCTCAGTATTATTGACGTATCATCTCTTTTTATCTCTTTAATTAATTAATGTTATACAAAATTAAAAGAATACCTTCTGTATCTTGGCTGCTCATTTCTAAAAAATAATCTTAATGTTTATTCTATTGGGTCAAAAACATATTAACTTCAAACATATTAACATGGTAATTATAAAATAAGTTTAATTTTTTAAATGAAGATTACAATAATTAAACTTGTAGATACAACTTACTTGTCGTCCCTCGCTTTGCAATTGTTATAATCGATATGAAGACCACATGGCCGAGTTTTATTGGTTTTAGAGTACAGTTGGCGCACATATCATAATACAAAAATCAGATGGTTTTGAATCTATTAATTAAGCTGTTTTTATTAACGGATTTGGTGGATTTAATTAGATAACCGCAAGGTAGTTTTACAGTGGTTTAAGAGTTGGCGTACGTTTCGTAATACAAAAATCATTTAATATTTGTTTATATTTTAATATTCGAGCATTTCTATTAGCGGATTAGCCGAAATTTTGTGGGTTTTCTGTTTGTCTCCTTCTGGAGTAACTAAATTTGTTTTTTTAGGTTTCAGATTACAATTTTTTTTTTCATACCTTTCCGTACTTTTTAGGACTCTTGACCAGTTAGTTTTAATAAAAATTTCAGATTGCATGTAAAACCTTTTTTTTATATATATAAGAAAGAAATTTATCTCTTTAATGTGTGTTGAACTCGCAGTTTTAACTAATTACCTAAAACATAAGTATCTCTATCATGCGTTTTTATGTTTTTAAAAATTTTTAAAAACGTTTTAAAAAATTCTCTCCGTTTGGTTTCTTATAGTATATTATATCTTTATTTTTATGTAATGCGTATAACATCTATATGCATTTAAACTTGTTTTTCTTTGTTTTCCAGAAAACTGGATAGGATTTAAAAAAAAAATTGTGTAAGCAAAAGGTTTTGAACCGAAGCGAAGCACTTCAATCGCTGTGGAATGCTATATCATCTTTTTACACTATTTAATAAACAGAAAACTTATTAAACTTTAAAAAACAACATTTAATGCTTTAAAATAAAGAGATATTGTCGCAATGAAATTATTAAGTAAAAATAAATCGGTAGAATTTGATGTCATCTACTTTATAATTATACTGATTGATAATTAAAGAACTTAAAGTTTACATATTTAGATATTTGAATAGACTTTCGTTCACATTGATAAAATGCAAATCATAACGGATTGTGGTTCCGAAAAAAAAGGTTAATACACTACCATCTATAATTATTGGAAAGGTCATATTTTTTAATATCAAAGATATCAAAGTTTTGCGAAAAAGTGAAAACAATGTCTACCTGAATTATATGTTATCTTCCTATTTATTAGGTTTACCAATAAAACTTCCCTGATTAGTTTATAATTTATTCAAGGCCCTGATTAGCTTTTAATTTATTTGCCTATTAATCACCCTTAACAACAATAACCGCCATAAATATATTCTTAGCATTCTACTTAACGACTTATCTAATTAGTCTATTTTGTCACTAAGTATAAAAAAAAAAAAAAAAATACCCATATATTAACTAAATATCAATTTATTTATCTATTTAATTTAATATATATAATATATAATTTAATATATATATAATTTAATCTAATTAATATAATTAAAATACTACTAATCAGCTTACTGATATTTTTTCTATAGCATTGTTAAAAATGGTCATATTCTGAAAGGTAAAGAAATTTATTGAAAAGAAAGTTGCACAAAAGAAAAAAAAAACTAAATAAAAGTTATTTGTTTCAAAAAACGTTTTACGAAGAGTTTTTCCAAACAATTTTATTTTTAATTGGGTTTTTTTTGAATTTCGTCATAAGCATATTAAGGCGTTTTGAAAAACAGTTGCTGCATATATTTATAGTAAAAAAGTTAATGTAGCAAAATAAACTTTTAATTGTCAAAAGAAAGTTTTAAAGTTTTATCTAACTACAGGCTTTTTTTTTTGCCTCCACAGCAGCATCTTATGAAGTAGCACGGCTGTCTTGTTAAGTTTTTTCTTTATTAAGTTTCAGACAACTTTTTTTTCAGACCATCCGCAGCTTATTAGGACTAATTACATTCGCACATTAATAACATAAGTGCCTCAATTATCATAGATACGCAACATATTTTTTCTCCTGGTGATGTTTTTTTTTTTTTTTTTAATGTTTTATGAAGTTTTAGCATTCTTAAAATCATTTCTTTTGTGAGTGCATAAAATCGTTACGTTACATATGTTTGTATATAATCTTTATAAAACTTCGAAAGTATTTTGTATTTTAAAATAATTAAAAAAATTAAAAAAAATAGCCGCCTTTGGTAGGAGTCGAACCTATAGTTCCTTGTTCAGAAGTTCGCCGCCTTATCCACTCGAGCTACACCGGCATATCATCAAGGGTAGATTTTATAATAATGTAGTAATTTTTTTGAGGAAAAAAATGTTAGATCAAAATTAAGGAGAGGTTGACGCAATGTAATTTTCAAGTAAAAATCAAACTGTAAAACGTGATAAATGTTTCAGTATGTTTTAACATTTGCTTTAACCTTACTTAGTTTAAAGTTTACGTACGTTAGATATTCGTTCACGTATTCTTATAGTGCTGCGACTCTTTCTTGCCAATACCTCGGTTGCAATGGCTGTCAAGGGTTTCGTGTCAAATACGCTCCAAGGGACACTACTATTAAGTTTGGCAATATTATATAGAAGATATATATATATATATATATATATATATATAATTATTATATGTAATATAATATATTATTGAACTACATATATAGTTCTTTTAACAACTTTTCAAGTATATATATATATATATATATATATATATATATATATATATATATATATATATATATATATATATATATATATATATATATATATTTATATATATTTATATATATATAAATTTAAAAATTTACATATAATTAAAAATAGTTCACCTCCACATACGTAATAAGTAAATCAAATGATTCCTTTGCTTGTTTTTTTTCCCAGTCATTGGTAATAAAAAGATCAATGCTTTAATAGCAGCCGTAACCTGAGCATCTATCAAAAACAAAAACAAGAGTTCGAGGAAAAACTTATTACACTGGAAAATTTCGCGATTGCGAGCTCATAAGTTTTAATATTATTAAATGAATTAATTTTCCTTTTAATAAAAAAAAAGCTGTTATTGAAATTAAATATTTTAGAAAAAACTAACTTAAACCCCCAATAGCCGCCTCTTTGGTACATTCTTGTAGATACTCTAATGTCGAGTTCAAACAGCAGGCAAGTATAGACAGAACCAATGTCAACATGTGCGTGATAAAACAATCAGCTGCATCTGGATGCATGCGTTTAAAATCTTGCAGCAACTAAACACAAAATCATTCATAAGCATAGCTATGGGTAAAGTAAAATAGCATATATCACATTTTTACCAAGTGTGAGCTTTCCACAAACTAACTGTTATTAAGTTGCCTAACGTATGAAAAAATATTGTCCAATATATGCAAGTTATCGGAGGGTATCAATGTATTTTATCAAACACTAAAGTGTTGTTTGGTAAATAGAACAAAGTTAAAATTATAATTAAAAATAGTGGTTTATACATACCAGTTGTGGTAGTAACAAATAACATGGCATCTGCTGAGTACATTCAAGATATGACGGATGTCTTTGCTCTATTTTTTTCCCTCTGTAGCAAAATGTTTTCTTTTCAGCAATTTGCAAGTCTTCAGAAAATACATTCGCTGACAATGATGCCAGTTTTAAAATTTCAGTTTTAACATCAGCACCTGTTAATTCATTAAAATAAAAAACAAAAAACATAAAAACATGATTTTATAGCTTGGATTTATGACAATCATTTGAACCAAATTCACTATGAAAAAAGTAGAGAGTGTCTACAAACATTATACCTTCGCAAAATTCACATAATTCCAATCCTCTATAGCAACCGTGAAATGCAAAATCATCTTCTGTGAATACACCTTTTTTTTGGATTTCTAGTGTAATAATTTCATCAAAAATTCTTTTTCAATTTTTTTCCCCTCGTTCATGTTTTGGAGACCATATCCAACGTTTTTCATTGCAATTAAGTTTACTGCGAGCATTTTCATTACATTTAGCCAAAAAACCTTTGTGAAATTTAGGCTCGAAAAAATCTTCTGATTTTAGACCAGTGATTCCTGAAAGTAATACACTTACCATATTTAGTTTTTCTTTTGGAGGGTAAAAACCATACAAGTCAATAACTTTAGCAGCTGTGACATAGGTGATGGAGATCCTTTCAGCAATGCCATACCCAACAGTTTTCAAACGCAACATATGCTGCTTGGACTTGCTATGTTGGAGCAAAAAAGACTCAAGTGATGTTTGACTCGTAAAAACACCAGATGCAGAGTTAGAAGGTGTTTGAGTTATCTCATTGTTAGTCAAATGAAATGATGGAGTAATGGCATCAATAATATTACTTCTGTGTAAGGTATCAGTTCCACCAGCAGATGCCTCCATAATGGGGGTTTTAAGGATTTTAAGATTTCTCTTTTATTCTTAATATGGAATTGTTTAATGCATTAAATATTAATATACTACAGGCTGTAAAAATATTTTTAAAGGTATTTTGGGCAATACCCACTTAATTTTAAAAAGTGGTTAATTTCTCATTAAAATGTTAAATACAATATTTTACCTCATTCCAGTTTTCATTAGGTTGAAGCACAATGATTGAAGTATCAGATCTAAGCACAAATGGGAAATCTTCTGGATCAATTTTGCAAACATCAGATTCCAAAACAAACCTTAGTTGGATGCCTGTGTTAATCTCAAATTTTGTGTGCATTAATAATGAAATAATTTTAAAATAGTTTAATATATTAAACAAAATCATTGTAAAATATTTCGGAAAACTTTCTGATTTGAAAGTTCAAAATTTTCAAATCTAGTTCATATCTATAAATAAATATAAAACATGTATAAATCAGGGGCTATTCTGGAAAAAAAAAAGGGTGGTGGTACCTTTCCGAGCCAGAGAAATTTACCCAAAATATTGCCAAATATCAGCTTTTTTCATGGAAAAAACAATATTTGCCGTAAAGAACATGGCAAAAATTTTTTGTATTAAATATATTTATATATATATATTTATATATATATATATATATATATTTATATATATATATATATATATTTATATATATATATATATTTATATATATATATATATTTATATATATATATATATATATATATATATATATATATATATATATATATATATATATATATATATATATATATATATATATATATATACATAGATAGGTATATAACCAATCTTCTACCTTCTGCAAGTACTTTCTTGCTCTTGCACTTTTGTGCTTGCCAACATATCCCCAATAATTCGGTCAGCGCTTATCATAGCGCTCGCTAATAATTTTTTTTTGTGTGTTTATAAATTGCCTTTTTTCTTCATCAAACTCTTATTAAAGAAGTATAAAATTACACACGTTAGAAAAACAATGACTGTCTGGCCAGAACTTTTTTTCGCATGCTGGCAGTAAACTTCAAACGGAAAGGTTATATTTATCTATGTTATATTTAAAAATAAAATTAGAACATAATTTTGTTGCCTACAAAAGGTACATTTTCAAACATATATAATACAAAACTATTCAAGATAACAAAATGTTTGAAAAAACGGTTAGAAAATTGTATATCTGGGAGCAACAAAAAATAACTCTTTCTCTTCATAAAAAACTTGATGAATGTTTAAGGGAATGTGATCTTTCAATTCATGGACTTGCTTACAGAAAAGTGATGAGTGTGTATTGTAATCAACTAAATAGCCATAAAAATGGCTATCAAAGCAGTAAACTGTAAGCATCCGCATTATTATGAAAACAACGTTATTAAGGTAAAAATTTTAAAACCTTCAACATAACCAAACTCAGGTATACCATCGTTAAAATTACATACCATAATACTTTTCTTTAAAACCTTATAATGCCCAATTTCAAACCATTTCAAAAAATGCACTGTTTCAGTTTGAGATAAAAAAAAAATTAGTCTCCAAAAAATGATTAATGTCACTGGGCTCAATTTGATTAACCAATTTTTCATAAGTTGTTCCATTGATGATGCAATTGCTAAATACTGAGTGAGAAATAAAAGCATTTGCTAAAGCAAGTAGACCCCGCTTACTTAATGAAAACGCAATGTTTTTAAAACAGTAGGTACTTTGTGAAACTTGTTTAAAAAAATTATGTCGAGATTCAAACCGCATGCACCAGTATCTGCATGGAGGGCCACATTTCAGTAGAGCTGTAGGATAATGCACAAGAAAGTGATGTTTAGGTGTTAAGCGTTTATGTGGAAACAGCTGGAGATAACTTTGATGATGTTCTGCTATTAGGTGTGATAAATAGCTTGCTAACCCAACATTAACTTTTGGAGCAAAAACTATGTCTAAAATATCCATAAGTAATAAAAGTAAATTCCAATGAGGTTCATCTCGTGGAAATCTGTGTCCGATAATGAATGGTATATTTCGGATTAAGCATCAGCGTTCTGAAGCAGTCATTTTTAATCGTTCAAAAGATGCAAAACTTGTGGGTCGACTATTTCTGTCAGAAGAGTCAAAATTAAATTCAGTCAACAACAAATTAAATTCGCTTAGAGATATATACCCATCAGCACTTAAAATACCTAAAACATCACTTATTTCAATAGGAACTATCCCTTCCAATAAATCGTGCATTGCATCAACAGCAAAATTTTCCATAACATGAAAGTACTTTAGCTCATTAAAAATGCACCCGTGTTTAATTCCGCTTTCAGACTCCTAATAGCCAGGTTGACCAACTGAATTAACTGAATGATTATAAGACTTTTTAGTTCGTTTAACATAATCAGTCTCAAGGAATTTGATTTGACTTTCTTCTTTTGTTACTTCACATAATCTACAGAATTTCCGTGCATTAAAACTCTCAAAAAATCCAAACAATGAATGATAACCTAAATTATCAGCAGATAAAAGAGCTAGGGATGCTCGTACTTTTATTGTTTGATTGCAGATAGAGACTTGCTCACCCTCATTAGATTCTAATTGCTTCAATATATTTATTAATGGGGCAAAAATTAAATTGTAAGATCAAGTTTTATCTTTAGCATCTAATGCATACCACATACCCACCAGAAAAATTTAAGATTCTTTGGAAAGAAATCTGGAAGGTATGTTTCTCACTGTCATATAAAGAACTTCCATTTTATGTATCAGTGTATGTGGACCAAGTGGATTTGTTGTTTCAAACCCATCAATATAAAAATGTAAAACCATTGCATTAGGAAATTTAGAAAAATAGGGAAGTTGCTTGTATGCGTCAGTGTCAAAGTAAACAATTAAGTTTCCATCATTACTTGCATGGTCATGGCAATTTAAACTTAAGGAGTGATATTTACACTCAATTATTATTCGAGCTAATAATAATTCAATAGGAATGTATTGAGCAGTATCCATTATGTCTTTCATTTCATAACTACCTAATGAAACTGATTTGCATTTCTCTTCCCTTATTCCAAGATACACTGGCTGTGGTACTATATAGAAATAATGTTTTTTTAAATATGCTATCATCTTATGTTCTGTATCAACTTTATCAATAGAAGTAGTCACAGCTGCAAGATCTTCATAAAGATTTTGAACACAAGTAACATTTTCATCAATATTCAGTTTATTAAAAACGGAACGAACATGCTCTAAAGTTAAATGCAGTGAGTCCTGCAATAGTTCCTTAAGACCTTCAGTTACAAATTGTAGATTTGTCAAAAGAATGTTAGATCGTGCTTAAAGCTTAGTAATAAATGAAACAAATGATTTTTATATACTATCTTGTATATTTCTTTTATCTCTATTATCTACAGAATCAAATCCTGAGGATACTTGCAAATATGCACTCTTAAATTGCGAAAACTGGAACATCTTTTAGGGCAGTCACCCTGGCCACATGGAATATCATTATGTTCAGAGACAGCATGTAACCGTTTTAAATGCCATACCATAATGTTTAGAGCACCAAAGGACTTTCCACAGACAAAACAATGTAAACTCATACTAAAATAATTTTAAAATATTTTGAAACTCTGATCTTTTTTGGAATTATTAATTACTAATAGACAAAAAGATTAACCTGATGATAAGAATCCAGCTTTGCCTTGATTGTACTTGTACACAACCACTTTTTTTTTCGACCGATCTTGGTTCAACACGTGAAGAATTAAACATCCAGAACTCTCCATCAATATCAATACTTAGAAGAAAAAAAATACTCAGATAAATAAAAATTAATTTTCAATAGATATTACATGTTACCTTTATAATTCAAATATTACCTATTTCAATACAAAAATGTTTTAATTTATTGTAATATTATTATGTAAAATGTTAAAACTCTAATGCAATTTTAATCATTGTACAGCAAAAAGTAAAAGCATACAATCTTGAAAACCTAAGTTAAGTTTAAACTATTTAAATATATAAAATTATATATTAGTTTAGTCACTAAACCAAACTTTAGTGTTAATTGTATAAAATAACTTCTAAAGTATAAATAAAGTATAAAATAAGTTTTAATATATATCTTATATATATATATATATATATATATATATATATATATATATATATATATATATATATATATATATATATATATATATATATATATATATATATATATATATATATATATATATATATATATATATATATATATATATATATATATATATATATATATATATATATTATATATTATATAATAAGTTTTAAAACATATTTAAAGTATAAAATAACTCTATAGAGTTAATTGTATAAAATAAACACTAAACTTTAGTGTTAATTGAATATAGTTTTAAAAAGTTGTATAGTAACACAATTTATTATATCACATTTAAAGGGACCCCTAAGTGCTATAAAGATATGATCTCATATGAAAGAGCATTAAAAAAAAATGTTTGATGTATAAAATGTAATAATGAACACACACTAACAAATTTAATTTTCAAAAAAACGCTTTTCTTCGATTAAAAAAAATGCGTCTCGTCCGACTTTACTGCCACGTTTGTAATTACGTCAAATTAAACAAAGTAGACAAAATGTCATTATTGCAAACGTAATTAAATTGGTAATTAAATTTTAAAGTAAATTCGTTTTTTTTCAACTAACACAAAATTACTTACAAGAATAAGTTTTGTAGAATTTTGTGAAAATATATTTGTATATTAAAATTTTTTTAAATAATTTTTATTTATATATTTGTGTTATTAGGGCAATTCCACGGCCAAAAATGAATAGAAGTCAAAATTTAAACTCTTTTCAGTCAGTTTTTAACAAATGAATATTGATGTAGACATATAAAAATTTATTTAAAATATTTCCTTAGTACAAAAATAAATTTATTTCAGTCATTTTTATGGTTTCAAAAGTGACGGTTATTCTCATTTTCGCTTGATAAAAACAATAATTATTGTAAAATGTTTTAGTTAAATTAACATTTATGTTAATTTTGCTATATTTTTTGGTTCAAATTGATAAGGTTGAATAGACATTTTATTAGAAATTAAACTAAGACAAGGCTCGAATTAACGCAAAAAAATCTAATCGCGAAAATAAATTTTTTTTGCTTCCCCCCCCCCCCTCTCTCTCTTTCTCTTATAGCTCGCGCCGATGCGCGGTAATGGGGGGAGGGGGTTGCGTTAGAATAAAATTGTCTCTTTAGCACGTAATTGTTATATTTTAACACACTATCTCTCATATTTAAATGTTATCTTATGACTTTCTTGTTTGGCGGAGTTAAAAATAGCGTAAGTTACTGTTATAATTTACAGCTTAATTTATAATTTAAAATTTAAGTTACAGTTACAGTGTAATGAACAAGTAACGTATTTAATACTATTAATTTAGTAATTGTTTTTACTTAGCACGATACTTAAAAAAGTAAAAGTAAAAAAATAAGAGTAAAAAGCAAACATTACTATATTTCAGTTACGGATCCAGGGGGAGGATGGGAGTATACATCCCCTCCCCCCACCAGAATCTGAAAGTCTTGAAAATATCATAGAAATTGAGGACCTTGTTTTTTGCTTTTTTTTTTTAGGAGACGCAAACATGGTACAAATATAAATATATAAAAATATTTAAAAATATTTTAACATCCCCATCCACCAAAAATTCCTGGATCCATCACGGCAATATTTAAACCGCCATAATTAGTCAAAGACAACTATTTAATACGATCACGCCGACGATAAAACACGTGTTTTTAATGAATATTTAATTTTTATTGTAAAAAGCTATAAAACAACAATAAAACAAAAAGTTGTCTTTAAAATATGAATAGTTTGTGTTAATGTAAAACAACTTCGTGACGCTGTTTTGTTGCTGTTTTGTTGCTGTTTTATACAGTTTAATAACATAAAATGCGTTTAAAATAAAACGAAGCAAATAAATAAAATTGTTTTAATAAATTAAGAAATTATTGTCAATAAATCAAAAAACATCGTCAAAAACTTAATAAAAAATTAGATATCACGTTTTTTATAATTTATTGTTTCTTGCATTGAGCTACGTTAGACTTTTTTATAAGTTCTAAACAATTAAAAACTATTACTTGTTAACTTTTTTTTTAACGACGTCTTTCAACCGAATTCTATTATACTGTTTTTGCTAAATTAATTAAAAAAACTTGATTTAAACTTAACTATATAATCACGTCTTTTTTTTACTTCAAAATCTAAGTTGATATTCTAAAGTTGTTGTGACGTACTAACGTGATTTTTAACAACTAGCAATCGAGTTTCAATGGTAAAAAATAAAATCAAAATGGAGTTGTTTTTCAGTGATTTCGGCAATTGCTTTTTGTTAGCCTGCATTTTTTATTACAACTTAGTGAAAAAGAAAAAAAACTTACATTTTTTTTTTTTTTAATGCTTTTTCATATGAGATCATGTGTTACTTAAGGATCCCTTTAAAATCCCACTTAGTGATCCCTTTAAAACTGAAAATGCAATAAAACTTTGTTTTAACGTTGCAATTTTAACACCAGTATTGAAATAACAATTTGATTGTACCAAGCAAAGGTTACTACTAAATTCCAACAAACAAATACTTTAATAATTATTTAAAAAGTATTTTAAAGGTACTAAAATAAAAAATGCAGAAAAATAAGAAAACAAAAAAAGGAAAATTTGAAGACATGAAACTTATGATATTATCATTTTTATTTTATTTTATGATAAAATTTATGTCTTTAAATTTTTCTATTTAGGTTTTCTTATTTTCCTGCATTTTAAACTGCAAATAAATTAATGATGAATTTATATATAACAATGATAAGTGACGCTAAATCTCCCTTGTTGCAATAGAATTGTGAAGTTTAATTTTTAACACGAGGTAAAACTTCTTAAAAGTTTCCTTATTTTATAGCTGAACCGATATTGAATTCCCTTGATTTAAGGAAATATGTCGGAGGGATAATTTTGTTCGCGTGATGTAACATTTAATTCACGTAATTTGAGGAATTTATTTCCTTAAAAGATGGAAAGATTTACGGCAAAACCGTTAAGGAAATTTTTTTCCTTACCGGCGAAGGAAAGATTTTTTTGAGTGTACACACACACTCGATTGTTGTGATATTTTACGATATTTACGTACATCAAGTAGGCAATATAATGCATATGCATTATATTGCCTACTTGTTGTACGTAAATATTTTTACATACGACCGTTATATGTATTATATTGCCTACTTGATGTAAGCAAATATTTTTACATACGACCTATATATATATAACGGCAATATATATAGGCAATATAATGCATATGCATTATATTGCCTACTTGATGTACGTAAATATCGTAAAATATCACAACAATCAAGTGTGTGTGTACACTCAAAAAAATCTTTCCTTCGCCGGTAAGGAAAAAAATCTCCTTAACGGTTTTGCCGTTTATTTACGTACATCAAGTAGGCAATATAATGCATATAACGGTGGTATATAAATTGCTCTTTTTATATGATAATTATACTTACTTTGAAAGCATGCGCTTCTCAAATGCACAGCATGATGAGCCACCAACATTTAATAACTTCTATTTCTAAATTTAAAAGACAAGAATTGTATAAATGATATGGGGCAATTTAGTGTAAGTTATATTGGTCATAGTAGCAATTCATTAGAATTTTAATCAATTCGAAAATCTTGTGTGTTTATGTGTATTTGTTAAGTGAGCAACATGTATATAATTACAGATCAAAATTTTTTATCTAATTTATGATTGTAATTTACCCTTATAAAGAAAACTAAACATTCAACCAAAATAATTTACCCTTATTTTAAGCATTAATTGATGTAATGAAAAGGAATTGGGCAACATGTTAAAGGAGGTTTTTGTTTTAATGAACTCGAAGAGGTTTGTACACTTAAAGTTCTTTGCTTTTATATACTTAAAGTAATATCTAGAATTGCGGTGACTAGTATAAGCAGTGTTGCTAAGGCTTGAATACTTTGGGCAAAAGTTGATCCAATAGCTAATTTTTTATTAGATATTTTTTCCCAACACAAAGGAAAAATACTTATTACTTTAAAGCCGGAACGCACATCGTAGCTAAAGAAGTTTTGTCAATAAGCTGTTTTATCTACCGAGTGTAGCTAGTTTTTGTTAAATATTTGAAACCGTTTTGAATGAAATGATTGTTTAGAATTCCGCCCCACCCCACCCCCCCACCCTTCATTTACTTTTCAACGTCCTGAATACACCTACATAAAGAGGCTGAAGCACGTGAATTGTATGTGCCTGTAGCTTAAAAATAATAATATCTTTTGCTAAGTGAATTGTTCCAGCGTTGCATGTGAGGCATGACTATGAAAAGGACTTTTCCCAGATAGTCATGCATAGTAAGACAAATGTCTTTTCAAACCATCAAACCAAATTAGGTCCTTTCATCCAGCCAGATTGCGTGACACCATAGGTAGCACCGTGTGACCCGTTCTGAGTTATAAAGCATTTGAGCATCACTCTAAAAGTTCAAATAATTAAATAATATTTTTTTAAGACGTTGTGTGGAGGTTGGAAATGGAAAAGTTTTTTAACGTTAAACAACGGCGTAATGTCGTCGTCGCAAACTTACGATAGCTTGACGTTGGTTTAACGTTTGTTGAACATCAGCACTAACGTTGGTTAGGCGTTGCTTTAAGGTTATAAGTAAGTTAACGTCGTGTACTCTACAAATAAATACATTTATATATTATTTATATTATCTGATAATAACTTTACAAATGTAAATACATGTATATTTCCCAAACATTATTATAAAAAATAATTCCAATTACGAAACATAACTTGATGTTTTATTGTTTGCACAAGGATGGTTAAATGAAGCAACAATTGATGATCTCCGACGACCTTGACCTGCTTTGTCCGGAGCATATTTTAAAACATACATAATTTCTTTTTTAATATGATCTCGTGTAGTGTCTCCACGGATGATAAGTACAGAATCTAAACTATTAATAAGGATATAA